TGCCCACTTTGGTGTAGAGCACCAAGAATGGTGGGCAGAATTGCCCTGGTCACGTAGATCGCTGCGGAGGTTGGGTAGAGTATCCCACAGCTGCGTGGAACATTGGTGAGTGTTCACCGAGCTGCATTTGACTGTGTGAGGCACTATGGCAGGCAAGAGGAAGTTTCCTCTGTCACGTGGGATCACAGAAGATGGATAGGAGCTCCCCAGCCACACAGGCAGGATTTCCCCCGAAGAAGGTGGGCAGGATGTCCCCTGAAGTTGGGCAGGATTTCCCCAGCCAGGTAGTAAGCACTGTAGAGGGTGGGCAGGTGGAATTTCCCCAGGAAGAAGTTGAGTGGGACATCCCCTGGTGGAGAGTGGATGGGCTTTACCCAGTCTTGGGTTATGCTGCGGAGGGTTTGGCTCTCCAAGCTTGGTGGAGATGAGGCATAAATGCCTTAGGCTCAGGGGAGTGGTTTGGAAGTTGGTGGTGGCGTGTGAGAGAAAAGTGAAGAGGAAAAAAAAACTAAGCTCGCTGAGACTGGGGAATAGAAAAGGGAATAGAGAAGAGAGGGAAACAAAAGTAACAATATAGCTGAGCCTGATCCGTGACCTTGGGGCTGGACTGGTTTAATCCCTGCCCTGAGGCTGCAGCAAGCTGTGGCTGTATTGAGATAAAGTCCCTGCACTGGCCCCAAATGATAGGAAACCCTTGCCGGCCAGCCTCCACTGTGATAAGCCAGAAGCCCCAGCTCCTCAAAACCTAGTGGATATGTGCCTACTTATCTTTATGATACTCCTCCTGTGACCCGGCAGTGTGGAATTTCCCTCTCAGTAAATCCTGCGCTGATTTCTGCAGAGCCCCTCTGGTATGTGTTACTCAGTTCATGTCTTCTTACCTTGAATCTAAATTTTAACTTTTGAACACATATTTTTAATTGTCTTTATGTAGAAATAAGTGGCCATAATGCACTTATGTTTTAGCACTATGGTTGTCTTGAGGAAAACTATTTATGCAATTGTTAGAGAGATATAAACTCAAGCCATTTTTTTTAATGTAACCTCACTTTTATTCAGATTTGAGTATTTAATAGAGTGAAAAGCTTGCCCCAAAATGGAAGAACTGAGCCTATCACTTTAAGGACACATCTGACAGTGTTTATGAGCATAATTACATGATGTTTTAAGATAGAATGGAATTTAAGCATAATTCAGTAAACTAATATATTTCAGAGGAACAAAACAAGATCCTAACTGATAAGACTCAGTCCAAAATAACATTATATAGATTTTGTCTATCCATATTTGTAACATTATGAATTAAAACTGATATATATATATATTTTAAAACAATGTATTTTAAATAATAAGTCAATAGATTTTAATGTGGCAAAGTACAAAAAATTTGTTCATGTGGTTTCAGATTCCATGTTGCAACAAACTTTCAAGAAGCTATTACTTTCAAAATGTAATATTTATTCCTTGAAAACACTATTTTTTAAAGTCTAAAGATAGAGTTATCTCACAAATAATGTTTTTAAAAACCAGCGTGTTTCATATTGCTGTGTTGAAAGTTGAGCCCTGTTGTTATAGTGGTTAAGTAGTCAATTTCTAACCAAAATATTGGCCATTCAATTCCACTCCTCATGGAAAAGATGTGGCAGTCTGTATCCATAAAGATCGCAGCCTCAGAAACCCTATCAGGCAGTCTAGCTCTATGAGTAGGAGCCAACTTGACAGCATCAGGTTTGGTGCATGATGTGGTTGTGCAACAAAAATATTAGTGTATACCACTTAAGGAGACACACTTTCATAGGCCTAAGGCCAACACAGGTGGACATTAATGCCTTTGAGGGAATGTTTGCTATTTTAGTATGGGACCTAAAGCCTGAAAAAGGAGACAAAGAATATATTGTGCATTGCAAAGCAGTATTTCTCAAGATACATCTCTTTTGCTGTCTATAGGTGTAACCAAAACTAAGCCCACTGCCATCGAGTCAATTCCAACTCATAGCAACCCCACAGGACAAAGTAGAACCGCTCAAGACTGTAACTTTTTCCGAGGTAGATGCTTCATCTTTCTCCTTCAGTGAGCTTGGTAGTTTCAAACTGGTAACCTTGTGGTTAGCAGCCCAACATGTAAACCACAATGCTACTGGGGCACCTTGTAAGGTGATCAAGAGCTTTCTATGGGTGGGAGACACATGTCTAAACATAGTTAAGTAAATTCATTGTCAGAGTATTTCTACATCTTAATAGCATTATATATCTTCTAGAAAGGAGTAAAAAACAAATTCAGTGCCATCGAGTCAATTCTGACTCATAGCAACCCTATAGCAATGGTGTGTAAAGGGTTATAATTTGGGCTGTTAACCTCAGGTTTGTAGTTCAAAACCACGAGGCACTCTGCGAGAGAAAATTGAAGCTTTCTACTCTCAAAAGTTATAGTCTCAGGAACCTATAGGGTAATTATACTCTGTCCTATGTAAAGAAAAGAAAAGAACTTGAATTCAGAACGCTTCTTTTCTAGTTCCTCTTTCCACTCTGGTATCCCTTGCAATCTATTTTGGACAGTATTCTCATTAAGCAATAGAGTCATAAAGCTGAAAAAGGCTTTAAAACTGTTTATGATAACCACTCAATTCAATGTTGCTAAAACACTGCCAACTTTGCTTTCTGTTTTTTATATTTCAAAGACAATGGAAAATGATTAATTTTATATATAATGTATAAAGTGTCTTACTCTAAAATTACTTTTTCTTAATATGGAACTTAGCAAGTCTTCAGACGTGAGAAGCTGCTCTGCTCTGCGCATATCACATGAGTTCTTACCCTTCCTGTGTTAGCGAGCCTCAGGGGAAAGTCTGGGGCTCAGGGATCCTTGCCTTAACTTGGTCTTTTATTGTTTGTTTAGTAAGAACCTTAAGCACTGGCAGAGAAACTCAGCGTTAGAAAATTTTTTTCAAGACTTTGAAAGTTTTTGCATGTCAAATTCCATGAAAAAGAGCCTCTTGAGACAAAATTTATTATTTTAAAACATTTATTAGGGAGTGCTAATTGGGATTATCATCTCTTGAAGGGAAGTAAATGAATTGGGTGAAGGGAGGAATTTGGGCAGCCTTGGTTGAGAGTCAAGATCCATGGGTTTTTGGATCATTCCAAGTTGAGATGAAAGTGTGGAGTATTGATAACACAGCCAGTCCCTGAATGTGGCTGCTCTGACATGAGGGAACAACTTTATATGTGACGGCTCTTTTGACCAAGGTACCCCCCAAAGAAGGCTCAGAGTTCAGGGCCATCTGCTTTGGCGATTCCAGCAGCTGTAGGAATGAGACCTGCACTTCGGAGGAGGGGTTAAGGCAGCCTATCATAGGATCCCCTCCAAAGGCTTATCAGTGAGGCTCCTAAGAACAGAGGCTTGATAATGTTTAGCACTCAAGGGCTTATTTTCTTCACATAATGAGAAGTGTGAGAATTGCTTCTATTAATATTTCCCATAGTCTCAGGGAAGCTGCAAGACCTCCAGCCAACATGACTGCGTTCCAGGCAGCAAGAGTTCCTACTATTTCCACCATTAATATTCTTATTTGTGAAGAAGGCTAAGAAATTCAAAATAAGAACATTGCCTAGAGTTCTGTCGTAAAAAGAATCAATTTTGAGACTGATAGCTTCTTTTCTCTTTTCCACAGAAAACCACCATTTAATCTGAGTAGACGGGAAAAAATAATAGATCTTGAAATAGTCTTCTTGACTGTGAATGCAACGCCGCTCCTCTTGATTGGGTCATTCTGGCACAGTAAACCATGTGGTCATCCGACTCACAGTGGCCGCTGCCAGTCCATTTCAGCTCACTAACACTTAGGATGTTGATCTTTATGGGTTTCCTTTCATTTTTTATGACTTTCAATTTTCCTAGATTCATACTTCATACATTCCAACTTCCAATTATCAGTAGTTTTTTGTTGCTGCTTACCTTGAGTCATGCCCCATCAACAAATGAAGATCCGAAGGCTCTACTTCCACAAGCTTTACACCATACAGGTCACCATCACCGACTCACTTGGGGAAAGCAGATCAGTCACCTTCTCAGCGCCTTCTCACCCAGGGGCCGTCCTCTGGCACCATCTCCAACAGGGTTCTGCTTCCATGCATTGGGCCTTCAGTGTCGGACAGTGTTTCCAAGCTGTGCATAGGTTTCGACAGCTATTTCCTCTGAAGTGGACCACCGATTGGTTCCTTCTTCCATGTTTGTTCTTAGGAAGCTCTGCTGAAACCTGTTCACTTTGAGGAGCCCCGCTGGCATTTGAGATACCAGTGACACTGCTTCCAGTGGTGGGATTCAGCAGGCATGCCCCAGTCTGGCAGAGTGGATACCTAATTTTTGGTTGAGTTCAGAGAACTAGTTTAAATGGCACTTGCTATCAGAAGTCTCTCTAAGGTGGGCGAGGCTAGACAGCCACCCAATGCCCCATGTGGACATCACCAATTTACATCCCTTACTCCTTTTTAAGGTTCATTTATACAACGCTTTCTTATGACATAATCTGGTTTTGTGTCCCTCTTTGATGGTTCTTAAGTATTAACTATGAAATAATAAACTACCTTTTGCTATGTCATTTTTGTGTGTGTTTAAAGCAGTCATTAGGGCAGCAAAGCAGTTGTTAAATTATTTGAATCCTTCCACTGCAAAGCTTCCAGCATCACAGCAAAACACAAGCCACTACAGGTTTACACGCTAACAGACAAGTGGTGGGTTACGGACTTGGGAGCCATTAAACCAATAGAAGTTATTGGCTAGGATAAAACTGATGTATTTGAGAATAAAATATTTTCTACCATTATAGATTATTCATATAGTAGCCAAATGTCTGCTACTGGAACATTTTCTGAGCTTTCAAACCTGTAGTTTTTATAATTATACTAAGGAATACTGGAGCAACTTCTAAACCCTTAAACTTTTCTTAGTGTTAAATCCATTCCTATTGCAGTGATATTAATAATTATCTTTCTTTTTTTAGGCAAATGCAATAGGCAGAAGTGCTAAAACTGTTAGAGAATTTCTAGAAAAGAATTATACAGAAGATGCTATGGCAAATGACAATGAAGCTATCAAACTAGCAATAAAGGCTTTGCTAGAAGTAAGTGATCTAGTCGAGCTGATTCAATCAAACATGTTTTATCGTTTTTCATCCAATTTTTTATGAAAACAGAATTTGCTTAGGTAATTCTAATATTGTACTTTTTATGATAGGTTGTCCAATCTGGTGGGAAAAACATTGAACTTGCTATAATAAGAAGAAACCAACCTTTGAAGGTAGGTGATTCACTGAACAGACAAAAAAATCTGTAGTATAATTTGATCAAAGTAAGATATTATTAATTAAAAGTAAAGTGTTGGCACCTGTGAATCTCATTTACAAGCATGAAATATTAATTGGTATGAAATATTAATTGGCACTATGAGACCTCTATTTTGTTGCTCTAGGCCAGCAGTTCTCAATCTGTGAGTCGTGACCCCTTTGGGGGTTGAACAACCCTTTCACAGGGGTCACCTGATTCATAGCAGTAACAAATTACAGTTATGAAGTAGCAACGAAAATAATTTTATGGTTGGGGGGGTCACCACAACATGAGGAACTGTATTAAAGGGTCATAGCATTAAGAAGGTTGAGAACCAGTGCTCTAGGCTAATAGTCACTATTTGTGCTTTACTGTTACCTACCCCAGTCTGAGGACCTGGAGCCATTGAGATCGAGATTTAGCCCTACCCAGTCAGGACATGGCTCTGTAAACAGGAACCTCTACTGACTCAGTCCTACATGAGGGTCACTGATGTAGCATATTCCCTATGGAGATCCATTCCTTGCACCACATGCAGCAGTCATGCTTCTGGTGTCTTCAGCTCTTCTGAAATCATGCCATGCTCCCAGCCAGTCATTAGAGCTTCAGAATTCTGGCAGAATGCTATCCTTTATAGTTGAGGGGTGGGGGTGGGGGCATCTGTGTGTTCTTGTTTTCTATCCATTTTTTGTGTTCTCAAGTTTTACTTGAAGATATTCTATGCCTCTGTAGACTTGGATTTTAGTGCCTGCCTAGCCTAATAATGACTTTATATTTTTGTGTGGCATATTTGATGTTATTACTTGTATACTTTGTCAGTCATTATAGGTCAAAACTTGTAGAACACAAAATAAAGTGTTCAGAACAGTATGTTGACTAAACTGTTCAGAATATTGTTAAAGAGGAGCCATTTGATTAGAAAGCATTGAGATATTATAATGTTGTTCACTGTTGAGGAGCCGTGGTAGTATAATGGTTAAAATGCTCAGCTGCTAAACAAACGGTCAGCATTCTGAAGCCGCAGCCACTCTAAGAGAAGGACAAGACAGTCTGCTTCTGTAGAGACATAAAGTCTTGGAAACCCCATGGGGAAGCTCTACTCTATTTTGTATGCTTGTTAGGAGTCAGCATTGATTTGATAGTAAGTGGATTTGGGTTTGTATTTTCATTCATCAGGTAGAGCTGCACAGTAGAATTTGCCAACAAACTCTCTTCAACTGAGTGTATATTAAGCACCAAAGTGTGAACCAGTATATTATTGTTTTACATGTATTTTTTGTTTTCAAGAAAATATTTCAAGGAGCAGCAGTGTTAAAATTAGTGCAGTTTGGAATAATGGGGGTTTCTTTCATTACTGTTGCTGCTTTGACACCCCTTTTTTTCCTTTTGTTATTCAACAAATGGATGACCATGGGAGCACAGAATAGGAGCAATATCTGAATAAATAAGAGAAATGAGGATCAGGTGGTGGCATTCGTCCCTTCATGGCCCCACATTAGTAATCAGCCTGCTGAGCCGAGTGTGAAGATGGGAACTGGACGGCCACATTGCCTATACGGCCCAGAGCTGGGGGACAACTGTGCCACTATCACAGGACACAGACCACTGAGATGAGGGTGTCCTCTGTAGCCCTATCACATACTACATACATTGATAAATCGATATACATAGACTTAGTTAAAACATGTATGCATATTCATGGGTGACAGGATGATATCTGTGCTTTACTATCATTCAACATGAAACTTCAGGATCGGCTGGGTTGTGAGTAGAACACACACGCACAAACATTAACAAAAACAAACTCACTGCCATCAAGTCAATTCTGACTAAAACAACCCTGCAGGACAGGGAAGAATCACCCTGTGAATTTCTGAGACTAACTCTTTACAGGAGTAGAAAGCCTTGTCTTTCTCCCAAAGGCTAGAATAGAACACAGCCTTTTATTTACTTTTTTATTAATACATATCATATTATTCCATAGTTCAATCAGGAGAAGTACAATTGTACAATTACTACCACAGTTTCCAAACATTCTTTTTCTATATGGATTCCTTGATATAGTCTCCCCTTCACTCCCCACCACCACCACAGAACCCTGCTCCCCCTGTAACCCTTATTCTACTTGCTGTCTCTATAGGTTCATCAATCTGGGTTTCATATACCGAAAAACATAACACAACTTCAAGAGGGTGACCTCCAATGACATGACACCTCTGAGATACATCCTGATACGGACAAGCAAAACCGAACACAACAATACAAACCAACCATACAGACAATTTAGGAGAACAGAACAGGCTCAGCATGCATTGTAGAGAGGATCTACTGACAAAGTTTTAACTGTTCAAGTCAGATGTATGCCTTTGAGCTTCTATATTCCTCTCCCCAAATCTCTCTGTTTAGTAACCACTTTCCTCCCCTCCCTCAATTGTAGATAGAGGGAGATCTCCAGAGACTTATTTTGTACATAGTTCAACAAATGAATCTTGGGCTCCCACTGTAAACCATAGCCTTCTGTACACCAGGTTCTCACAGTTTAGGATCTGATGCAGATCCCTCCTTCAACTGCTGAGTGTATGATTTATAATCCTTCGGTAACTAATGGTGGGATGCTTCTTCCATGTGGTCTTATTTGACATCTCACTTAGATGGCTGCTTGTATGGAAACAAGCCTTTAAGACCCCAGACACTATTTTATCTAGTTAGCTGAGCACCATCTGCATCCTTGGCCACATTTGGTTATAGCACCCATATCTTCTGTGTCTTCTTCCTAAGGGCGAGTATCAAGCAGGGTCATGCTTTAAGAACTATTGTTCTTACAGTAAGTTGGAGCTAGGATTTAGTGTGATCCCAAAACCCATTTCTGGATCTATGTTTGTTTGTTTGTTTGTTTTTCCCTTTTAATTTGTTATTTCTTCGGGGTTAATACATATGTCATATCATTCTGTAGTTCAGTCTTGTCAAACAGAATTGTACAGTTGCTTCCATAATCTGTTTCCCAACATACTTTTCCTTCCTGGTCTCCTTGACACCATCTCCCTTTTACTCCACCCCCACTCCCCTGGTACTCTCCCTGCCATACCCTGGTTCTACTTGCTCATCAATCCTGGGTTTCGTCTACCGAAAAACAGAAAAAAACACAACTTCCATAGGGTGACCTCCAATGACAGTGCACCTCTGAAATACACCCTACTATGAACAGGCATAAATAAAATGAAACAATGCCTGTCACCCATTTGCCAGAATGTTACATATCTTAATACAGCATATTGGTTGATGATGAAGCAAGGACATTGATTGTCCATTTACCAACACCTTTCTTGGTATAACTGCCCACAACTTCCTCAGACACAATGTGTTTTCCGATTTAAGTCCTCAGGTTACACGCGTGTTTGAGGTAGAGCCCTGTTCATCCAGTGAAGTTCTATTTGGGCTCTCACTGGCGTAGCCTCTGGAGCATGCCATGTATCCTGGCGATCTAGGATGACCTAGTGTTCCACAGCGCCCGGCCTGGATCCCTGAGATTCCCTAGACGCCTGAGATCAGTGTGGCCCATTCAATGCATGCCACCAAAGGCAGTCTCCCGCAAGTGTCCACAAAAGCATAAGCATTTTCAGTGTTTTTCTCCCCACCCGGGGATCGTCCTCCCTCTTTTCCTACCAACAGACCTGCCTGTGTGTTCCCCAGACGGAACACAGCCTTTAGAATTCAAAAGGCCTGAGTTGACTTTCAGCGGGAACTTTTGGTTACCACTGTAACATTGAGCAGGTTATTCCCATCTTTGATATAATTTTATTCGTGTGTGAAATGAGGCTAAAAATACTACCTCAAAGCGTTGTGATAAGGAATTAGGATAGCATGAGATAGTAGCTATGTTAGCTGATACGTACAGTAGGTGCTCATTTAATATATCTATTCAATTTATTTTAAAATTATGCTTATGTGTGTTTTTATATAATGAGAGAGTGGGAGGGAATAATTAACCCAAAAATCTGACCAGTTTTAGAGTTATTAGTTCTGACTAAATGTAGCTACTATTTCTTTTTACTTTTGATGAAAAATTTTAAAAGAAGAATCCTGATGTTTTTCTTTTCCAAATCTACCTAATTAAAAAGAAAAATAGTGTCTTGATTTTTATTTTCAGTATCTTATATCTTTAATTATTTTACACCTGTCTTAGTGCTATTAGTGCTTAGTTCTCCATCTTAGTGCTTAATTCTCCATTTAAGAAGCTACAAGTCCAGGCCTGTCTGGATAGGACAGGCTGGATGAACAATCTGGAGGAGAAAACAACGGGGCTGACAGTTCCGGGAGAACATGGGATAGGGGGAGGTGGGG